GGACAATACCGGTGATGATCAGAAAATAATATTGGGATGAGGTGAACGGAAAACTTAATTTTTTGTGTTTTTTCGAGTCGAACTATAGGCCACAGTTGAAAGCCGAACATCACAACACAACCCATGGTGAAGGGAATCTGGACAAGTAATTAGAAGGGCTGTACTGAATATTAGTAATATTTTTTTACCTCTAGTCAGTCCAGAGGGTGCAAATATCGAGAAATACTGCCCAAGCTCAGAATATAGAACCACACAAAGTTAGATTTTCGTAGAAATTGTGTAGGGTATCATATGGTCGGCCCCGTCCGACTATACTGCTCCACTCACTGATTTTATGATACCTTTTTGAATAAAAAAATATGATTTTATTCAAAAAAATGTAACTTAAAAAATTACCCCACATTATTAAATGTGTGTGTGTGTGTGTGTTTTATTATTCCGACAATGTCAAAAAATACATAATATCTAGATCTAGTTTAGCGGCAGCATACAATAAACACCATACAGACATTATGTTTGACCTACATGTATTAAAACATGTTATGGTTTCTCCTTAATGATATATTTAACCGGTTTCGTTGTTGCATGCATAAACAGAAGATTAAAAAATATTAATAATAAAATAAAAGATTAAAAAAAACAAATATGCTATGGACCTTTTAAAACTATTTTTTTAATCACGTCTTAGCTGGCCCTTAAAAATTTGTTTTTAACAGATTTAATCAAATGTTAGATCTTAAAAAAGAAAAATCTCCGCCCAAAACTGGACTTTAAAAATGTTTTTTTTTTAATTCATTTTAAAAAATCCACGCCCATAACTCGACCTTAAGGGGACCCCCCCCCATTTTCGGGGTCAAAATTTTTGTTGATATAATTCGAATCTACACCGATTTAAGAATGCCTCTACAAAATTTCAAGTGAAAATCTCAAGAACTCTTGAAGATATTGCCGATTTATTGTGTCAGTGAAAATCTTCCTTATTTTTTAATTTGTTTTTTGGTAAAAAATCGGCGATTTTCCAAAAATATTTTTTCAAAGGTCCACCATTTTGTTAATTTTAGATCGAATTCAATAATCCTAGTTCATACGAGAGCCAGACATGTACTCTTTCTAACACCGTTGGAATTTTCGGATTCCGATGTTCCAGTGAGGAGTTATCATGCCCGCCATCAAAAATAAGGACTTTTCTTTAATTACAAAAAACAACAACAAAACAATAACAAACATTTTTTGTAAATTATTTTTCTTCTCTTTTAAATCTTCAGTTATATACGTGCAAAGTTACAAACCTTAACAAACATTTTTATTCATTTACCAGCCCATTGAAAATCTTGAAAAAGTTATAATCGAGAATGGGGGGGGGGGGGGGGGGGGGGGGGGGGGTTCCCTTAAAAAAAATTTAAAAAAATCCTCGCCTGTGACTAGACCTTTAAAAAATAATTTTAAATTGTCCCCGCCTATATGACTGGACTATAAAAAATATTTTTAAAATTCATTTAAAATTTTATTTTAAATTGTACATTTAAAAAAATAGTTTACACCTAGGGATGTACCTTGCCTGGACATTTTAGTTTATGGTTTTCTTTTTCATTTTTTTTTCGTCAGACTTTTTTTACCTTCTTGGAGGGCCAACAACTGAATTCAGCCTTCGAAATTGTTTGCGAATATTTGTGTGTTTTTCCCCATTGGAATTTTCATGTTTTTTTCTCTTCTTCGGCTTGTTTTGTTACTATTTACCGCAAGGCCAGGCTTGTAAACAAACGAAAACCACTGAAATCGAATATCTGGATAAACAAACCCTGAAACGAAAAAGAAAATTAAAAAAAAAAAAAAACAAAACGTAAACAAATGACGTAGTAATGGAGGAGGGCGACGGTGTCACGAATTGATTAATGATTTTTTCAATTTCAATTTTCAATACAAATTATCTAGGGGCCCAAAAAATATTTATTTTTATTTATTTTTTTTTTTTTTTTGGGAGAGGTTTCGAATTTAATCTTACAAATAATTTGTATGTATGTGTGTCATAAGGTATGCAATTACATTTCCCATGACACTTTAATTTGATTGATTAATTTTCTTACGTTAAATAAAAATTTGCTTTTCAACGAGTTCGGTTTTCAATTTTTATATTTTTTGTTTCGTGTTTTTATGTGCATATATGTATAATATAAATATATTTAAAGAAGAAAAAAAAAAAACAAGTGGGTTTAAAAAATCGTTTTTGTTTATATTCCGTCTATATGCAAAAAAAAATGCCAATAAATTATTTTTTCGTGTGATGTTTTTTTTTTTATTTTGCAAAAATCTGTTTTTTTGGACTTTGGATTCAGTCAAAAAATATGCATCTATTTTATCTTTTTTTAAGATGGTGCTATAATATTTGAAACAAAAGAATGAAAATGTTATTGCTAAAATTAGCACCTCTCTATAGAAAAATCTTAAAATTGATTTAAATGTCTCAAAAATTAAATTAATTTATAAATTTTGTTTTCAAAAAATCACTGGACCTTAAAAAAAACAATTTTTAAAAAATCCAAGCATGTGGCAGGACCTTAAAAATTTTATTTAAAAAAATCCACACTTATATGGCTTTACCTTAAAAAAATAATTTTGTTTTTGCAAAATATTGAGGATGAATCTCAGTTTGTTGTTTTTATAAAAACAACAACTATTTATTTGTGGGAAATGTATGGCATTGTTAAAGGAACAAATAATTTCAAAAAATCCACATCTATGGTTGTTCCCATGGCAATAATTATTCACGACTGGACCTATGAAAAGAAAATTAAAAAAAAATCCATCCCTATGGCTGGACCTTTTACATTTAATTTCAAAAAATCCACGCCCATGACTGGTATTTTAATTATTCTTTTAAATCCACAACCATAACTGGACCTTAAAATGTATTTTTAATCCAGCCCCTATGGCTGGACCTTTAGAAATTAATTTCAAAAAATCCACGCCTATGACTGGGCTTTAAATAAATTAAAAAAAAAATCATTACAAAATAATTTTAATATTTTCACGCCTCTGGCAATCCATAAAAGAATATTTTTAAAATACTAAGGCCTCTAATAGTTCTTTAAAAATGTATTTTTTAAACCAGTGAGCGGAGCAGTATAGTCGGACGGGCCGAACATACGATACCCTACACAACTTCCACGAAAATATAACATTCTGTGTTTCCATTTTCTGAGAATGGGCAATATTTCGGTATATTTGCACCCCCTTGACCGACTAGAGGTCAAGAAATATTACTACTATTCAGTAAGTCCCTTCAATAGGGGTCTTCATTGTCCAGAACTCAACCTACATGCAAAATTTCGTGAAGATTGATCCATAACTGTGGCCTGTATCGTGTTTACAAATTATAATGGACAGGCGGGCGGACAGACACACATGTCTAGATCGGTTCAGCTAGACGAGATGTGACGATGGGTATACTTAAAGGTGGGTCTAGGACCAATATTTCGCGGCGTTACAAACTTTTGGTACAGGGTATTATGTCTTGGTGCATATGTTTGTAACAGGCAAAAGGAAACGAAATAGACCCATGGTTCCTTTTGAGAATATCCATAGAATCACTTTTTGAGTCGATTTATGCATGTCCGTCCGTATGTTAAGTTGTAAACACAGTATAGGTTGCATTTATGATCCGATTTGGATGAAATTTGGCATAGATCACTTATTTGGCCCAAGGACGAACCTTATTGATGTTGGGAAAAATCAGTTCAGTTTTAAATATAGCTCCCATATATATTTTCGTCCGATTTATGGCAAATGGGGCACCAAAGTCCCTATATATCTTTCGATTTGCACGAAATTTGGCACATTCTAGGCCTAGAATGATGTGAGTTAAGTTTCCTGAAAATCGGTTCAGATTGTGATAATAGCTCCCATATATTTTCGTCCGATTTAATGTATATGGTCCACTAAAGTCCCTATATGTGTTTCGATTTGCACGAAACTTGGCAACGCGTAATGAATTAGGCCTAGAATGATGTGCGTTAAATTTCATGAAAATCGGGTCAGATTTAGATCTTCTATTTAGATATAGCTTCTATGCATTCAAAAATGTTATGTCCTCCTATATTTTAACTCCTCAATCAAATTCAACTCCCTTCCTACATATCTCTCCAATAAATCAATAAAAATCATGCGGACAGTTTTGTTTTTTTGCACAGACATCTGCAATCAGATATTTGCAATAAAAAATAATAACAAAAAGTGTCCAACATACATTCAAAATCAATTTATTATTTTTTTTCTTTTATCATATCGCCAAAATTAATAATAATTTTTTGTTTTATTAACTGGTGGTCCCATGACTAATAAAAAAAATATAATTCTGCTGTCTGGCCCACATTCAGATTGTAACTGACGCAGTTTTATATATCAATCAGTTAAATACCCCTTTGAGAAACAATAAAATTTGAAAAAAAAACTCAAATCAAATCAATTTTATGTTAATTTTATTAAGGCGTAATAAACAAATAACACATTAACTTTATAATTTCAATTTGGGTTAAAATCGATTACGAAGGTTTATTGTCCTAATGGCGATTAGACTATATGCGATGGTAAAAATAATCGTAATGGGGTGGAGAGGAAAAATATTTTCTTTAAAAAATTATATTAACATAAAACCAGGATCTAAAAGTCCCTTACAAAAAAAAATTTTTAAAGTATCGAATGCTACCTGAATTAAAAAAAAAATTAAATCTAAGCTAAGTCGTTAAAACATTTTTTTTCTAAATATTCAAGCCTGTATTCCTCTTAACAAAAATGCAAATGTCCTTACGGAAAATTTTTCAAATTTAGTCCAATTTTTTATTTTTGTAAATTTTTGAAAAAAATTGTAAAATATTATTTTATTAATTTTTCATTACTTTCCATCTTTACAGATTTCTTCTCTTTTTTCCCGCCATAAATCACCCCGAAAGAAGGCCATAGAATCCATTTGAATTTGTTTGAGTGTGGGTTATTTAAGCCGGCACTATGGCTGAAGCCCATCAAGCCGTTGCCTTTTCATTTGCCATTACCCATGAGGGTTTTGACATCAACTACGATCAAGAGGTTTTAAATCTTATCTGGACCTCAGGCTATAGGTCATGGAAGAAACGTCTAGCAAGAGCCAGGGTAAGTTGGTCATATTCTCCTCGATATTCATAAGAAACCATTCTAATCAATTGCCTCTTCCTTTCAGAATGGCATACGCAATGGTGTCTATCCAGCCCATATACACAGTCTCTGGCTAATCACAGCCATTGCACTGGGTCTGCATTTTGCTGGGTTTCAAACACCCTTCAATATAGTTAATCGCATACTAGTACATTTACCTGCAAACACAATAAATTGGCAAGTGACAGCTTGCTTTTTAGCCTCCCTAGTTATATGGCTGGGTATATGCTTTACAATGCGCTATACACTGAAGCTACTGCTAATGTACAAGGGTTGGATGTATGAATCTCGAGCGCCGGGTAGTAAAGTGTCATTACGTACCAGACTATGGGCCGGTGCCGTTAAGGTATTCTCCAGCTGGAATAAACCGGGTCTATACAGTTTTCAAGGTTCATTGCCAAGGTTGACACTGCCATCGGTAAAGGACACCATGCAGCGTTACTTGCGCTCAGTACGCCCACTTTTAGATGATGAACAGTATCAACGCATGGAACGTTTGGCTAATGAATTTGAAAATACCATTGGCAAGAAGTTGCAGTGGTATTTGATTTTGAAAAGTTGGTGGTCCACCAATTACGTGTCGGATTGGTGGGAGGAATATGTTTATCTACGCGGTCGCAGTCCCCTGATGATTAACAGTAATTTCTATGGTACCGATGCCATATTCATGGATTTGACCCATAATCAAGCTGCCCGCGCTGCCAACATTGTATATTTGTTGTTGAACTTTAGACGTTTGATTGAGAGACAAGAATTGCAACCGGTAAGAGAATTTTTGAAATCGTATTTAATTTTGCTTGTCTAATTTGATAATTTCTTCTACATCAGATCATGGTTCAAGGCATTGTCCCCCTGTGCTCCTGGCAATATGAAAGAACCTTTAATACTGTTCGCGTCCCTGGTTTGGAAACCGATCGCATTGTCCATTACAAAGACTCCAATCACATTGTGGTGCTACACAAAGGCTGCTATTACAAGGTGTTGATTTACTACAAGGGACGTCTGCTGAGACCCTGTGAAATTCAAATGTAAGTCGAAAACTCAAAACCCACAAATAAATTCAAACAAATTATACCACTTTGTGACTATTTAAACTGAAAATGTATTTCTTCATTATATTTCTAGACAAATGGAAGAAATCCTAAACAGCAAAGCCACCCCATTGCCAGGTGAAGAACATTTGGCAGCACTGACCGCCTGGAATCGTTCCAAATGGGCTGAAGCTCGTAATACCTATTTTTCACGTGGCGTCAATCGTGTCTCCCTGAATACTGTCGAATCGGCTGCATTTGTTGTATCCTTAGATGAAGTGCCATTTGAATTTGATTTAAATCGTCCAGAACTGTTGGATAACTTTGGTAAAACCCTGCTACATGGTAATGGATATAATCGTTGGTTCGACAAAAGTTTCACAGTGTGTGTGGGCACTAATGGCCGTGTTGGTTTCAATGCTGAACATACGTGGTAAGTTCGAGAAGGAGATTTTTTGTAATGTTTCCTTAAAAATTTCAGGAAGGATTCTGTGTTAAAAAAAAGAGAAATATAGAAAATTCCTGCAGTAATTAATGTAGACCTGGACTACGACATAAGGCCAAGTGGTGTTCCATTGTCAGAAAAAGAATAGTAAATGTTTGTAGAAAGCCTAAATGTGGACAATAGAATAGCTCAAGGATTTCTGTAGACTTTAGAAGACCTCAAGGTATTGTATTGTATTCAGAAGTCCTTAGACTTTAGGTCTTATATAGTCTTTGGAAGACCTCTAGATCTTCTATGCTCTTTAGAGGACTTCTAGATATCACATTGATGTTAGCAGACCTCTAGGTCTTCTTTAGACTTTAGAAGACCTCTAGGTCTAAAGGTCTGTAGACTTTAGACGACCTCAAGGTATTTTATTGTATTCAGAAGTCCTTAGACTTTAGGTCTTATATAGACTTTGGAGGACTTCAAGGTATTCTATAGTCTTTAGAGGACTTCTAGATATCCCATAGACGTTAGCAGACCTCTAGGTCTTCTTTAGTCTTTAGAAGACCTCTAGGAATTTTACATACTTAAGAATATCTTTAGGTCTCCTAAAGACTTTAGAGTAACTCTAGGTCTTCTATAGTCTTTTGGGCGACCTCTTGGTCTTCTATTGACTTAAGAATATGAATCATCATCTCTAGGTCTCCTATAGACTTTAGAGGAACTCTAGGTCTTCTATAGTCTTTTGGGCGACCTCTTGGTCTTCTATAGACTTAAGAATATCTCTAGGTCTCCTAAAGACTTTAGAGGAACTCTAGGTTTTCTATAGTCTTTAGGGGGACCTCTAGGTCTTCTATAGACTTAAGAATATCTATCATCCTCTCTAGGTCTCCTATAGACTTAAGAATATCTCTAGGTCTCCTATAGACTTTAGAGGAACTCTAGGTTTTCTATAGTCTTTGGGCGATCTCTAGGTCTTCTATATTCCATTTAATGTCTAAATTCTTCTATTGTCTATAGGGGACCTAGGGGTCATCTATTGTCTATAGGGGACCTAGGGGTCTTCTATTGTCTATAGACGGCCTAGATGTGTTTTATTGTCTACAGAAGGCCTAGGTGTATTATATTTTCTATAGAAGACCTAGGGGTCTTCTATTGTTTCTAGAGGACCTAGGTATCCTCTATTGTCTATAGAGGGGACCTAGGGGTCTTCTATTGTCTATAGGGGACCTAGGGGTCATCTATTGTATATAGAGGTCCTTGGGTCTTCTATTGTCTATAGAATACATACTCTAGGTCTTTATAGAATATCTAGTGAGCTTTTATTTTATATAGAAACCCTTATTTGTGTGTAGATGGCCTTTATTTTGTATGGAAGTTTTCGATTCGATAGGGAAACAAATGCTGTTCTTTTATTTTTCATACCCATTAATTTTTCCCCCTTATATTAGCAATAATAATAAACCTAATTCTTTGTTTTGAAATAAAAAAGGGCCGATGCCGCTGTTGCTGCTCACATGTGGGAAAATATGATGATCGACGATCTTGTGCTCGATGGGTAAAGAATATTTTTTCCAAGAAACTTTTTTTTTCGATGTAAAAGTGGTGTTGGCCCCATATTCTGCGTTGTCAATATGCCCACATAAATATTTTTTTTCAAAATTTTGTTTTTTCATGCGCATTTTGGTTATGGTCATTTTTCACATTTTTTCTATTTTTTTTTTTTCTCTTTTTGGTTAAGGATTTTTTTATTTATTTCTTACAGGTTCGCCAAATAAATATTTATGTATATAATTATTTATTTATATATTTTTTCATTATTTTATTCATATTTTTGTTTATAAATATTTATTTTTTGCACCCTGTTGTTTTTAGGGCTGATGCACCGGTTATGGGTCATACATGGGAATATATATTTGGTGATGATATTTATGGGTAAAAAACAATTGAAAATATTGCTCAAAGCTGCTTGAAATATAACAATTCCTAATCATCTATGTTTCTAACAATAATAATAAGATTTTTATTTATTTTTAACATACTAACATTTGTTTTACAAATTTATTCCAACATTGGAAGCACCGTTATTTTTTGTAGACCTTCATCATCCAACTACTAATCCAAATCACCTTGAGTTCTAACTGTTGTCTAACATAACCATAAGGATCCGACAGGCAATTTTGTTTTTCAAAACTAGTTTTATTTATAAATTTAAACTAGAACATGGGCGAATATTATATCCGTCCATCGACACACCCAAATGTTGTCGATACACAGCACAGTATCTAATAAAATAAATATATAACGAACCATATCTTAAGTAGTTCAACAATCTGTCATATGTGCTTGGAAAAAAATGCAATAAAAATCTTGCATAAAACTTAGCTGAATAGGGTTAAAATCGTGTGGAATGCGTTTCCTCATGCCCGTACTATCGATTTTTGTGGAAAAATTGCATAATTTCCTTAGCTGAATAACATAAAATTTTGCGGAATTGTAGAAAAGATGCAGCAAATTTCTATAAAGTTGTGGAAATAATAAAATAAACATATAAAGAACCATTTCTTCAGACTGTCATATATTTTTAACAGTAATTTAAAATTAAAACCTTGCTGAATTGCATAAAACGTAGCTGAATAGGACTGAAACTATGCGGAATGGGTTTATTTATGTCTAGAATATAGATTTTAGTGCAAAAATTGCATAATTTCCTTTGTGGAATTACATAAAATTTTGCTGAATTAAAAAAAATTAATGAAATGAATAAAATTTGAAATTTTTTGTAAAATGAATACAATTCTAACCTTATCATGTGGAGTTTGTTTCACTAAAATAATTTTATTAAATTGTGTGACATAAATTCCTTGCAGAATTGCATAAAACTTAGCTGAATTAGGGTTAAAATCATATCGAATGGTTTTATTCTTGTCTGTTGAATAGATTTTAGTGCAAAAATTGCATAATTTCCTTTGTGGAATTACATAAAATTTTGCTGAATTGTAGAAAATTTGCAGAAAAATTCTCGAAAGTTGTGGAAATTATAGAATAAATTTATAACGAACCAATTCTTATTCATTTCATCACTTTGTCATATATTCTTAGCAATAATTTAAAATTAAAACCTTGCTGAATTGCATAAAACTTAGCTGAATGGGACTAAGAACATACAGAATAGGTTTATTCTTGTCTGCAGTATAGATTTTAGTAAAAAATTCATTTACTGAATTACATAAAATTTTGCTGAATTGAAAAAAATTAATGAAATGAATAAAATTTGATTTTTTTTGTAAAATGAATACAATTCTAGCCTTATCATGTGTATTATGTTTCACTAAAATAATTTTATTAAATTTTTTGCCATAAGTTCCTTGTTGAATTGCATAAAACTTAGCTGAATAGGGTTAAAATCATATGGAATGGTTTTATTCTTGTCTGTTAAATAGATTTTAGCTCAAAAATTGCATAATTTCCTTTGCTGAATTACATTAAATTTTGCTGAATTGTAGAAATGTTCCACACGAATACATGTTTAAGCCCAAATATACTTCAATTTGCTCCCCGCTCTAGTGTAGGCTATCTTATAAATTTTGACACAATTTTGAGTTTCATCTTCCTACAGGTATTACTTAAAAAAAACAGAAATAAAGCTTTTCTGGTAATGGTCTAATAATACTAACATCCATATGTATGTATGTGTGTGAATGTCTGTAGATATGTAGTTGCATTTAAAAACCAAATCATAATTATTTTAATACGGTGCTGATTTTACCTTTTCTTCTATAAAAATAAACTAATTTCCAATTTTATTTTTCCAAAATTTAGATATGATGAAAATGGCAATACCAAAGGTACCCCGGAATTCCAACCACCCTCACCCACGCGTCTCAATTGGCAATTGGAACCATGTTTGCCACAAATTGAAGAAGCCACCTTAGATGCTAATAAATTGATTAATGTAAGTGTGAAATTTCAAAATGTCTGTCTGCATAAGAAATTTTTCGAAAAAATGTCCCTCCTACCAAATATAGGATGTTGATCTCAGAATTTTGGTACACAATCAATATGGCAAGGGTTTCATGAAGAAATGCCGTCTATCACCCGATGCCTTTATACAAATGGCGCTGCAATTGGCCTATTATCGTGATGCTGGTCGTTTCTCGTTGACCTATGAGGCCTCAATGACACGTCTTTTCCGTGAGGGTCGTACCGAAACGGTAAGGCCATGTACCATTGAATCGGCTGCCTGGGTTAAGGCAATGGAGAATAAAGATAGCACGGTGAGTTTTTTTTATTTAAAACCTACAATTTTCTAATTGATTTCCTCCCTTTTTACAGTTGGATGAACGCATTTTATTGCTGAAAAAGGCCTGTGAACGCCATCAGTTGGGCTATCAAGATGCCATGTGTGGTCGTGGCATTGATCGCCATCTCTTCTGTCTGTATGTTGTCTCCAAATACTTGGAAGTTGATTCGCCATTCCTCAACGAGGTGTTGAGCGAACCATGGCGCCTATCTACTAGTCAAACTCCTCACGGTCAAACACCAAAAATGGATTTGAAAAAACATCCGAACTGTATCAGTTCGGGTGGTGGTTTTGGTCCCGTCGCCGATGATGGTTATGGTGTGTCGTACATTATTGCCGGTGAAGATTTGATATTCTTCCATATTTCGGCGAAAAATTCGTGTGCAACAACGGTAAGTAGTTATGGAGTGTATATTGAATTTTCAGTTCCGCTGGCAGTACTTTGAAATATTCATCGTAAGAATCACGATATACATTTCTTGCTCGGCTTTCGAAATTTGTTTAAAAACTAATTTGAAATTAAAAATTAAGAAATTAGGAAAACTTTTTTTAAACAAATTTAAAAAAAAATTAAATTATTTTTCAAAAATAATTAAATTTTTTCCAAAAAAATTTGAAATTTTGTTTAAAAATTTTTGAAATTTTGTCTAAAAATTTTGGAAATATTTTCTAAAAAATTCGGAAATATTTTCTAAAAAATTTGGATTTTTTTTCTAAAAAATTTGAAAATTTTTTCTAAAAATTTTGGAAATATTTTCTAAAAAAATTGGAAATATTCTCTAAAAATTTTGGAAATATTTTCTAAAAAATTTGGAATTATTTTCTAAAAAATTTGGAATTATTTTCTAAAAAATTTGGAAATATTTTCTAAAAAATTTAGAAATATTTTCTGAAAAATTTGGAAATATTTTCTAAAAAAATTTGGATTTCTTTTCCAAAAATAATTTCGATTTTTTTAAGACATAGCCCCCTTATAAAGGTGTTGTTCCGGTTTTGAGAAATTTAAAGTTTTTGCATTCTAAAACTGTTAATCAATACATTAATCTAAAAAAATTGAAAAAAAAATAATTTAAAAATTCAAATTAAAAATTTCAATAAAGAAACAAACAATTTTTTATAAGAAAACTTTTCTTAGAACAAATTAAAAAAAATTAAATTTTTTTACAAAATCATATTTTTATATCAAATAAATTTTTTGTTTCGAAAAATTTTGTAACCAAATTATTTTCCTTCTGCCATTCCAGGATGTACATCGTTTTGCTAATAACATTTGCAAAGCCTTGGCCGATATTCGTGCTATGTTCGAGGAACACATGAAAAATAATCCACCACCACCAAAGAAGGCGGCCGCCATTGCCAATGGTAAATGATGATGATGCAGATTATCATCATCAGAATGGCATGAAAGACATCGATCGTGATCATCATCAACCGAAAAACATTGCTGATGATGGATGTGATCATCATCATCAACGGCCAAGATGTATAATCCCTGGCTGAGAAAACAAAAAAAAAAACTCGCGTCCTCTATTATACAAAAGTGAAATTAATTTGTTGGAGCATTTGTTTTTATTTTCATATAAAATTTATATATTAGATTTTTTTAGCAATATTAGGTTAAATAATATTATTACTATTAAAATCTTTATGATTTTTTCATTTAATATAGACTATTATGAAAGATCATGTTTTTTTAGTTAAGTTTTGAAAAAACAAAATATCATGGCATTAAACATTTTTCCATCCATTTTGTTAGTTGTTAGTGAAAGTGTTCTATATTTATCATTATTCGAAAAAAAATTGTTTATTTTTGTTTTTATTTTATTGTTTTTCCTTAAGAAATTATGCTATCAATGCAATTATTAGTATATATGTATTTGGTTTCGTATCCCCCCCTTATTCACACAATTTTTTCCTTGTTTTACTCATCATTTCTATTCTTTTTTATAAATTAAGAAAAAAATAACAATTTGTTAAGATGAAACGAAAACGTTGTATAAACAAATTTTTAAATAAAACAAAAACAACAACTCATTATTTTAAATATAAAAAACACATTTTTTATTTTAATTCTCTTCCCTTCATCCAGCTATGGGATTTGCATGTATTGTCACACTATTGATCTTCTTTTCGGCATGCGGCCTATAGGTTTTTGGATTTACCGGTAACTTCTCCAATTCATCTAAGGCATCAAAACCATCAATAACACGACCGAATAGCGTATATTTCAAATCGAGATTTGGTTGGGCAGCATAGGTTATAAAAAATTGACTAGCATTGGAATTGGGTCCATTGTTGGCCATTGAAAGCATGCCACGATCCGAATGCTGTAATTTAAAAATAGAGCAAATATTATGCATTTGTCTTATTGAAAGTGTATTGTACAGAGACACTTACCTTCAAATGATCTTTGAACTCATCTTCAAATTTATGACCCCATATTGATTTACCATTTTTACCGGTATTTGTCGGGTCACCACTCTGCACAATGAATCCCTTAATATTACGAATAAATGCACAACCATTATAATAATCACTGGCACACAAAGCCAAAAAGTTTTCACATGCCTTGGGACAATCTTCACAGAATAGTTCCAGTTTTATATCTCCAACATCTGTGTGCAATGTTACGGACTGTACGGAGGAAGAACGACGATTTTATCAAAAAAAAAATATTCATAGGCTAGAACTCGGATTGTGAAATTTCAAGGTGCACCAAAAAACCCCTAAAATGTCGATATGGGGGCGGAACTTTTATATGGGGCCTATGTCCAAACATAGACCTATATCAAAATAATCCTGCAAACAAATGTTAACCATTCATGAAACCGGAATGGCAAACATCAATGTTTCAAAGTTCTTCAAGATACTGAAAATGGTGTGGGACTTTCATATTGCCAAATTATGATCTCGGAACAACTCTAGTTTAGTAAAAACGATCAAATTTTTCTGAATTTTTTTCCAGAGGTAGGTATTTTTACCCTAATTATGGGGATATCTTTTTTTCTTGGGGGACGTACCCGGTTACCCGGTTATTTGACCCGGAAGTTCGGGTACGGGTACCCGGTTATATCCGGTTCTACGGATCCGGTTAATATAATATGGGTATCATTTTAAAGGTTATAAAAATACCTTTCCATTGAGTGGTAATATGATGGGGTTATCTCAAACCATTTTGGGGATATAGTCAAAAAACTTGGTTTTGGTCCCCGATTTTTTTGAAAAACTCCCTAAAAGTCGAACTTGGGTCCATTATAGTCCCTCTCCAAACAGGACCCAAATGATAGACCACAATTTGCCCTTTCCAAAATGGTGCGATATGTGGCTGTATCTGTTGTGGATCAAAAGATATGGGCCTTAGAACCCTATAAAAACAAGGAATATCTTTCTACATGACAGAATCTCCTTTTAAATAGCATGGTGTTTTTTGGGTGACCGGCCTTCGGCCGGGGATTTAAGACTTTCTCCTATGGACAGATACCAACACCGGCTACGCGAAAGAAATTCCTTCTAAATAGAATGTTTTTAGGGTAGCTGGCCTTCGGCCGAAAATTTAAGACTTTCTCCTATGGACAGATGCCAACACCGGCTACGCGACAGAATCTCTTGTTAAATAGAATATTTTTTTTGGGTGACCGGCCTTCGGCCGGGGATTTAAGACTTTCTCCTATGGACAGATGCCAACACCGGCTAACGCGGCAGTAACTCCTTCTAAATAGAATATTTTTTTGTGTAGCCGGCCTTCGGCCGGGTATTTAAGACTTTCTCCTATGGACAGATACCAACACCGGCTACGCGACAGAATCTCTTGTTAAATGGAATACTTTTTTGGGTGACCGGCCTTCGGCCGGGGATTTAAGACTTTCACCTATGGACAGATGCCAACACCGGCTAACGCGGCAGAAAATCCTTCTAAATAGAATATTTTTTGTGTAGCCGGCCTTCGGTCGGGGATTTAAGACTTTCTCCTATGGACAGATACCAACACCGGCTACGCGACAGAATCTCTTGTTAAATGGAATATTTTTTGGGTCAGTTTTTTGACTATATCTCCAAAATGGTTTGAGATAACCCCATCATATTACCACTCAATGGAAAGGCATTTTTATAACCTTTAAAATGATACCCATATTATATTAACCGGATCCGTAGAACCGGATATAACCGGGTACCCGTACCCGAACTTCCGGGTCAAATAACCGGGTACGTCCCCCAAGAAAAAAAGATATCCCCATAATTAGGGTAAAAATACCTACCTCTGGAAAATTTTTCAGAAAAATCTGATCGTTTTTACTAAACTACAGTTAAGCCATGATCTCTAACGTAATTTCGACAGACGGGCACAAACATGACTTTGTCGAAAGGGGAATTTTATTTCGATTAATATGGAGGCCCCAGATGAATATATTCAACTCTTCCAAAATATATTTTTCATAATTTCACTTAAGTCATTTCTGCAGGCAACGGCTTTGGAGCCCTACCCGTAAACACCACGGCTTTCTTTTTGACACCTGCATTTCTTTTAATTAGCCATAAACTATTTAAATTCTGGAAATACTTACCATTTTTTATTTTTTTTTCTCTTTTTCTTTTGTTGTTGATTATTTATTGATAAAATAAACTGTGCGACAAAATATAAAACTTTCGACTTCTGAGCAATTTAATAACAAATTTCTTCTTCTTTGCTGATATGCATTCACTATAAATTGGTAGCATATAGAGGGTGTTGCCAAACACATGTTTCCCTTGCCGCCACAAATGACTTGACGTATAACGACACCATCTGTGTATTTATGTGTGAGACTTATTGTGAATTAACACTATGGGGGTTCACATATGAAAATCGTTAAAAATCTAGCTATGAAGAACAAGCCACGAAAAATATTTAAAAAAAAAGAAAAAATACACTACTTTGATGAAACCTTTAAAAATATTGAAAAAATCCCACGCCTTTTATTTAACAAAACCAAGGAATTTAAAAATAAATACATTCCTTTCGAAAAATCCTTGGAAATTTTTTATTAAAAATTTTTAAAAAATCTAACACAAAAAAGGCAAAATAATTTTTTGAAGAATACGAATAAGGAAGAGAAGAATAACATATTTGAAAAAAAAGTTCCACCCCCACTTACGTGACTCCTCAATTTCAAATAAACAACACATTTTTTTGGGTGAGTAAATATTTCCTTCTTTGTATTTCAATTATATGGAGAGCAAGAGTGGTTTCTATTTCAAATAATGTTTGTGTGTAATATATTTCCATATAAAATTAAAGTGTTTTGAATTAAAACAAAATAATAATTGCTGTTGTTTTACAAAGAAATGGAAATTTATTAAAGAAAGAAACAAAATAATATAAATTGAAAAATAATAAAAGTGAAAATTAAAAAAAGCAAATTTTGTTCTGAATGAAAATTACAGTACAAGTAAATCAAAAAATTGAATTATTATATATGTATTGTATGTTGTTATCTTAAATGATATATATGCTATATGTGACAAAGAAAAAAACACATTTTTCAATAGACTTACAAAATATAGACATATATAAGATGGAAAAGAATAATAATAGAAGACAATATAATTGATTAAAACCACACATAAAAATTCATTAGAACAAAAATAAAGAAAGAAAAAAACAAATTATAATAATAAAGAAAAAAAATCTGAATATTAAAATAAAAAATATTAAAAAAATAATAATAAAATTTGGAATAGTTTTGTTGTATATTGTTGTGAATAATAAGCAAAAAAAATATTTTTTAGAAAGCAAATTTGTTTTGTTGATATATGTGTGTTTATAATGTTGCAAATATATAAGAAATACTAAAACTAATACATTTTTTTTTTTTGGGATTTTTTATTTGATTTTTAATTTTTTTTGGTGCAGTTTTCTTTGCATTTTTTTAGTTTAATTTTTTATTTTACCAATTTTTTTATTTGTGTGGTGGTGATATATTGAATTTTTGTTTACGACATAATTAGCTTTGCTCTTAACATTGATTACGAAATTTCTCCCCAATCCAGAACAAGATAGCTGGAAAAATCTGATGGCAAAACCCATCCCCGGATGATGGATGGTGGAATTTAAAGAAAAATATGCAATTTGTTGAGTCCTACTAGCGGCCGGTAATATGTGTATATACTGGCCTTGTTGTTGTTGTTATACTAAATTATATTAATTTCAAAAGTTTTGCATATTTCCTTTATTTTGGGGGGCGGTGTTTTGCCATGTTTTTAGCATTTTGCATGCTTACTCCTCAATACGATAGATAAGGAAGAAATTCTCGACATCTTTAATGGCGGCTGGTGGCGCCTCGGGAGCTTTTCTGGACAACGGTTCAAATCCCATTAGCAAAAAGCTTTCCAAGATACGGGCACGATCAGCACGATCCTTACGTACGCACATAACAACAGCATCCACCTCCAATTTATCTTCGGCAAATTCCAAAAGTGACAAAAAGGTTTGTTGCGATGCCTCCGGTGCCAGCTTGTCTGGCATGGCCACGTACAAGATGTCATTGTCGGGATTTAGAACGCATTCCCATTTGGTGAATTTCGTCTCGGTGACGTGCAATTTGATCGAGATGCGTGTTGGATGATCTTGATTTAAGATCTGCTTGACTATCTCTTGGCAATCGTCATCCGAATAGATGGATTGTACATCCGAGTCCGAGCAATCCGATGATGCCGATGAAGTGCTAACGCTTCGAGAGCCACCACTGCTGTTGCTGCCATTATTGCTTCTGTCAAATACACTGCTGCCACCAGATGAATCGACAGAAGATTTTCGAGTGTAACCTGGGGGAGTTATAAGAAGATAATTTAGTATTTCTTAAAATATAGCTCATAAATGTGTGCAGGCAGCAATACGAACCTGTTAAGAGAGACGCCCTATCGTGATCTGTTCTGTGGTGGGTAGGGACATCAGGACCACCACAGAGGCCCTACGCCGAGAGAGATACAGTAGGACTCAGTCGACATGTTCGTAGCGCAAGAAGAGGTGGAAATCGTACGCAATTTACTCTCAGCGCAATTAGCGCCAAGAACAGATTCCGTAAACTCTCTTCTACTACTACTACTACTTAATGGGTCGCTGAAAATAATTAAAAAATAGAAAAATATGAGAATTGTGTATTGGGATTGAAAAATGAAATCAATTTGTTAAAGAAAAATCCATTTTGCAGTGTGCATTTATAGATCATAGTTATTTTGTTTAGTGTTGTGGCCAATTTCAATTTTTATTAAACTATTTTGTTAAAAATTATTATAAAACTAAAGCAGTCTTTTAGAGGGGATTTTCTTTTCAAAAATTTGTATAAGAAAATATTTTTTTATATTTGATATATATTTGATATTAAAGTAATTAAAAATAATATTTTTTCTTCCAGTGTTTTAGCCGAAGTTTAAATTTGGGGTTATAATTCAAAACAACTATTTTGATAAAAATTATAAACAAGAAACAAACAGTTTATTAGAGATATTTGTTCATATGAGAAAAACAAAGTTTTTATTTAAATACTTGAAAAATTATATAAAATAACAAAAATATCCTAAATTACTGTAAAACAATAAAGCAAACAAGTGTTGCCAACCAATGCATACACACAGCATTCATTCACAATAGAGCACACCCAAGAAAGAAAAATACAACACTGTCTGTGCTTGACATGTGAAATGGCACTCGCTCACGCACACACACTCTCCGCAAATTCAGCAATAGAAGAAAAACATGGCGCTGTATTAACTGTCAAATACCCACTCACACAGAAAAAAAGCCGTACAACACTGGGCACTTTAATCGTTTTCTTCTTCAACAAACGACCCGAAAGCAAAATATTTTGCAAATTAGTGCTAAAATCTAATAAATATTTTAATACAATTTAATAAAATTGTATAAAAAAACACAGCCATGTCGATTGGTGTACCCATAAAAGTTCTGCATGAAGCAGAAGGTCATATTATAACATGTGAAACAATAACTGGTGAAGTATACCGTGGAAAACTTATCGAGGCAGAAGATAACATGAATTGTCAAATGACACAAATTACGGTAACATACCGAGATGGCCGGACGGCACATTTGGAAAATGTCTATATACGCGGATCGAAAATACGTTTTCTTATACTGCCGGATATGTTGAAAAATGCACCCATGTTTAAGAAACAGACGGGGAAGGGGCTGGGTGGAACGGCGGGTCGAGGGAAAGCGGCCATACTTCGGGCACAGGGTAAGTGGACACAAACCTATTAAATGTTGTCCGCACCTACTAAGAAAGTTTTTTATTTGTTTTCTAGCACGAGGCCGTGGACGAGGTGGTCCTCCCGGTGGTGGCAGAGGCGGACCGCCAGGTGCCCCGGGCGGTGGTCGTGGTGCTTGGCAAGGTGGTCCAACTGGTGGTCGTGGCCGCGGTGGATTGTAAATTGAATTGCAAAACAACCGACGCGTTTTTTTAATTTGAATTATTTGAATATAAAAATTAATTTTAATTGCTCCCCTCTTAGTTATTTAAGTCAAACTTGAATTTAGAGTTATGTGTGAAGTTAACCAACACAGCCATCCCAACAAAAAAACAATGAATTCTTTTTCAACACCAGTCAACATTCAGGAATCTTGCTACAAAAAAATTAACTATACACAAACAACATTAAGCTAAAGAATAGTAAGTTTTCGAAACCATTATATTAAGAACCCTAGGGTTTTCAATAAATTTGAAAAAATGAAAAAATAATTTAGTTCTTATCATTTTAAGGGAAGAGCGAAAAAATATCCAGTCTCATAAATAAAACAGAGGGAATTTGATTAAAAGAAAAAAATCCCTGAAAGTTTTGAAACTTCAAAAGCTATGGTGGTCACAATGAGAATTGATGACATAGATGTAAACTGAAAAAGAAAAAAATCCTCTGAAAGTTTTGAAGAATTATTTTAAAGCTAGACGAACACAATAGTGTATTTATAAACCATTGGTTGAAACCACCCATTTCAGCATTTCAATGGCATCAAATGTATTTTCTCGTCTAGCGCTTCATATTTAGAATTATACCCTAATTTTGTGCGTCCCCGAAATATGCTGACCTTAGAAATGTTGTATATTAAAAAATTGGGTAAACCCCGTTTATGTTTTATAGTCCTCGGAGCTCCACGAAAACGGTTCTGTAATATTTTGATGAACAATTTTGTACAAAATCCTGCAGGCCTCAGGACTTATGAAGTTTTTTATACAATTTTTTCTTTTGTACGACTCAAAAACCTTTGGAAATTTTAGTAGACCATGGAGCAAAAAAGTCATAAAGCTTGTACTAAACCTCAGTGATTCTCACAATACATTTTCTATATACGCCTAAGATGCCAGTGAAAATCATTTAAAACTATTTTAACAATTACAAATATTTTTTTGTATACCTTAGAGAAAATATACATTCTTTCGAGGCCACACTTTTTTGTTGTAGTTTAAAAGATCCACGATTTTTTTATAAATTTCTTAATGACATATCTTAGAGGCCACGAACATATTTTTGCAGATTCCATAACCTTTAAAAAATAATATATTTTTTTGTCAAATTAAAAAAAAACTTGTATCTTACCAAAAAGAAATGGAAGGCCCATTGGACAACACGATTGTCCCCTAAACAATCTATAGGGAATATTATTTGCGTCCTGTAAATCAAAATAATTTTCGCCAGACAACAAAAAGAAAAACCCCAAAACCAATCAATCATAACACAAAATAAAAAAATACAATTAAGTGTTAGATTGTTGTTCGACGAATACGATATAAAGAGAGCAATTCCATGACAGTAATAAAGAAACTAGACTGTCGACAGATAGCTCTCTTCATATTTGTAATTCGTGATCTAGTTTTTGAAAACAAAACAAAAACAGCAGATCGAAAAGGAAAAATGTTTGTTAATGGAGAAAAAATTCTCTCCGGTATTTTTAGACGGACAAAATATTTTATAGAGACAAAGGACATTTGAACAATATTTAGTATGTAGAAAAAGGAGAGGGGTTAGTAAAATTGTTTACAAAAAAGTGGATAGAGATGAAGAAGAAGGGAAACATTTATTGAGGCTTATCGAATATCATACAAAGAGAGCAATTCCATGACAGTATTATATTTGTTTAACTGGACTGTCGACGGACAGCTCTCTTTATTTATATATTCGCTTTGCAAATTGACAATTTAATTAAAATTTCATTAAGTCATTGCCATTAAGCTGTAAACAAAACTGAAAAACAAATTTAGTATTTTTATGGTAAATAAAAAAAAAATTGATATTAAAATAAATTCCCAAAATGACGTTGCATTTGTTTATCTCATCACTCAAAACCAAAGAGTATATAATTTCTCTGTCTGAGAATTTGTGATTAATTTGTTATTTTTTTTGCAAAGAAACATTAGCATTTTTCTCAAGATGTACATACACACAAATTTATATATACACCACCTATGTCGTATATAATAAAATGTTAAAAAGAAATGAAAACAAATCAACAACAAGAAAAAAATTGCGCACTTGGCACACATTTTTTGTTGATGGTATTATCGTCATGTATATAATATTATTTTTTATAAAGAATGCACGTATAATTATAATTTGTTGTTGTGATACACAAAAAAATATTTCAGATTTTTTTTTATAATTTTTTTATCTATGAAAAATTAACACGTTTCAAAAATAGCTTTTTTAACCCTGACTGCATATTTTTTGGGTGAATTATAATTAAAGAATTTTTTTAATATTACAATTTATTTTTATTAAAATGTACTATCTTGAATTTAAGACAGAATTTCATCATAAATTTTATAGATTGTCTCTGGCATCCAATAAACAAACTCAAACACATGACGCAAATAAAGATAATTTTCTTAATTACTTTTGATAAAGAGGTAAAGTGTGTTTTCATTGTTCGGCTTCGTCAAGGCCAATTATGACAATCTTAAAAAAATAACAACAAAATTTGAAATCAATTTTTATATTCCAAAATCACATGTAAATTAAAAAAAATTGATGCAATGTAGTTTCATATTGCGTCCATATAAATGTATTTTCAAAATATCCCACTGTAAGGTCCGAATGAACAACATTTTTTGGAAATTTAATTTAATATTTTTGTAAAACTGAAAGGACAGGGCCTCAGGGACCTTTAGAAATGTAATGAAATATTTTTTGAAAGGACAATAAACATTTTTTACAAAATATGCAGGCCTCTGTAGCCTATGGTAATTTTTTTATATTTTTTGTAGTCCCAGGAGTCTATGGTATATTTTTTATTTTGATTCCCATCGTAGGCTCCTTTATGTAAGGCAAGACTGAAAGGACCAAGAATAATTTTCAATAAAATTTTTCAGGCTTTAAGGACACTTTGGAACTTTTTTTTTATAAATGTTTTTGTAGTCCCGCAGAATTAAAAGGACCACAAACAATGTTCTACAAAATGTTTGGGCCTCAGGAGGCCATTGGAAATTTAAACTCCTTGTACATTAGAACTTTTTGTCGGGGTTAACCTACTTTATGAGGATTTATTTGACATATATGCAAAGGAAATGACAATTGAAACCCACTGGGTTAACGAAATCCGATTAGATGTAAACGTACTGTTAATTTAATTTTTAAAGCATCGAAGGTTTTTTTTATTTTCTCTATAATATTTTATATAAGACTGAAAGGACGAAGAAGAAATGTTTATATATTTTTTGTAGTCCCTTGGTGGGGCACGAAACCATTTCTATAATATTTGGTAGAATTGGAAAGGACGAACAATTTTCTAAAAAATATGAAGGGCTTTAGGAGGAGGATTTTTTGAATGTTCTAGATTGCAGATTATTATTTTTTATTTATTTACTTTTTTATTTTTATTTATTTTTTTTTTGAGTCAAAAAAAAAAAATTGCGCCAAATTTTGGTTATGGCCTGAGACCCATAAGAAGTTATTTAATATTTTTTTTTACCTTAGGGAGGCCCACAGCTAATCATTTTCTACAAATTTTATGCTTATGAACATATTTTCATTATATTTTGTAAAACATATTTCGTAAAACACATAGGCCCACGACGAAAAATGTGATTATTGTCCTCAGAGGTTTTGGAAAATAATTTGTAGCGAGTCCTTGTGTCCTCTATCTACAGTCGGATTCCAAATGAGGTACTTATCCACCTTTTTATTTATTTATATATTTTTTTTTTGCACACATTTAAATCCAATTTTGGTTGTATTTTCATCAGTCAATGGGGAAAAGAAAATTTTTTTGCTCCAAATTCTTTTAGGAAATTAGGCAAGCTTTCTATCAAATATTATGTAGGCCCGCATTTAGATATCTAATTCATACTACGGTTCTTCTAATTTTTAAGATTTTTCACACCAATTGGCTGTAATTTGATATTTTTTGGGAGACAAACTTCCCACCAAAAATTATCTTCATAGGTTCGCATTTAAATATAGCCACCAATATTCAATATTTTTTTGTTTTTGGATTTTAGTAATTATTGTCCTTGCAATAAATCCATACCTAGTATTATTATCAAAATGCACATGATGATTATCACAGTCGGTAATGGTAATACCAATAGCAGCTGCCATTACTATTTACAACACCAACAACAAAAAACTTAATATAAGTTGATTGGATTTCAAATTTCTTTGAAATATTTTTTTAAGGATATGTCCTTTTAGAATATTTTTTTTTAATTTTTATTGATTTATTTTATGTTATATGTTAATTAAAATTATATCACAGTTATGTTGCCTGGGGTATTAGAATTAGGTTTCTTTCTATGAAAACCAGGGAAAATACTCCCTTATTATGGTTTTATATTTATTTTAATTTCGTATTAAATTTAAAATGTCTGTGCAGGAAATTGTTAAACATTTGCTGTGATGGGAGGACTCGACTCGACGATCACAACAATTTATGTGAAAATTTAATGGATATATTTTTTGTTTTGCCTTGAGAGACGTTGTTTAAAGTTCTGCGCGTCCGATTAAAGACTAAACTGAAATTGTCTTAAACAAAGATTTTTATAAGAAAAAATTGTTTTTTTGTATAATAACTAAACAAGCTAAACGACAAAGCAAAACAAAACAAAATAAAACAGGGGACACAAACAAAGATGGGTGGCGGTGATGATGATAATGTTGGTGGTGGTGGGCAGGCAAACAACAAAATATGAAAACACAATTTAAGAAGAGTAGGCAGGTGGTTGGGGTAAACCTGCAGTGCCTGCATGAATGAATGAATGGCTTTTAACCGGTAACAAAAAAGACAACAACATATTCCCGATAATAGGAAGATATCAAAAGAGGGTGGATGGGGCACAATGCATTTCTCAATGTTTGTAGGTAAGGTAGGTATATGGTAGGCTCTAATGTCTCAACTTGTGAGGGATAATCAAAACAAACCAAAGAATCTTCTACTACGCCG